CCGATGGTATAATTTGGAATGATCTGAATTGTGGTTTTTATTTGATCTTGTTATAGAAACAATGAAAACAAGACATGGCAAATAAAAGTGTCTCTTTTCGCGGACGTTGTTTCATCTCTGTTAACAACATACTAAAAAGCAAGTTCCTCATGTGTGTTTTTTCACACAAGGAAGTCTAAAAAACTCATAGCTACTGTCACACCGTTGCTCTTCTCTATTACTAGATTATAATTAAGTTTTTAAAGTAAACTGTTCCTGAGCAACCATCTGGAAGATACGCACTCCCTCATAAAAAACAAAGTTTCGCTGCGTATTTGATGTAGTACGTAACATTTTGTCAGTATGCAGCTCTACCAAGGACTACTCGAAACTTTGTCAAAACAAAATTATTATAGACAACCAAATTAAAACAAAGTCTAACTTACTACCCACACGAGAATGCACGGAGTTATACTGAATTTACCATTTTAGTAGGTTTACCCTTTTTAATACATATTGAGCTTTTATGAAGGAGTCGGCGTCGAAGCCGGATTCGGAGTCGGAGTTGGAGATTTTAGTACCGACTCTACAGCCCTGATTAGTAACAGTATAATTCCTCTAGATGGCAGGCATGACAGTAGTAACGTGTTTTGTTCTGCAATATGTCGGAGTGATCTAATGGAGGTGACTTCAGAAGTTTGTAAACTCGTGGTAGACAAAGGCGAGAGACAAAGAGCTACTTTGGAGACTACTAAAGCTTCAGGGAATGTCTTGGCTTTGTTTAACCGCATATTTCAACTTCATTATTTATGTACAAGTTTCAACAGCATACGGTAACACACCGCCTTCTAAACAACAAAGGAAGGAGAAATTCAAGTTATTTCAATTGCAATACAAATACTAATGTCTAATTTTAGACCACGTGTTATTTTATATTTCATGTGACACTACATGATTAGAAATACGTTTTCATAACTATTTCATGTCCTCTAATAATTTATAATAAACGTGTATTTTAAGCACCCACAATAAAAAATATTACACTATTTTATGCAAATGTGAATGTGTAATTTTATTGCAAGTAACACAGAGAATAAATAAATGCGTCTTTCAAATCATGGAGATACAACCCTTAAAACGGGATAAAGGATGAAATGTACCACCTACTTTGGTTACAGAGTTGTAAAGTAGTTTCTGATTTACGTCATACACATCTAGCCATTCCTAATTATCTCTGTTTATGTTGATAGAGAACAAAATGTGCCAGAAATAAGGTGTCCTTTTTTATCTCTTACAGTGAACTAACGTTCATTTAACAGTTAAAATGCGCTGCCACATTGTTTATGAAGTTTATTAAAGATGTAGAAGTAAAGCATATAGATTATTGGCAACTTGAAGTGACAATTTATTAAATAAATAAAATAAAATGCACGAAAAGTTTAATTATTCTAGTACGGTACAGTTTATTTGTAGGAAACCCTTGAGCAAATAGCGATTATTTTACACAGGCCTGTAGAAGCCGCCGCCATATTGCATGCTTCATGGTCACATTAAAATCTTACAACGTTGCAACACGAACAGCGGAGTTTAGGCGAGTGAAGACAGCTCCAAACTCGTAGGGTAGGATACCTAGAAACGCTGAACTGGTGTCATAATCGCGTTGTGAAAGGGCGAAGTCCTTCAGTGGCCTTGGAGCATGAAATTTGGTGACAGATACGAAAATATAATTTTTTTAAAAAACGTAACATGTTGCAAATAGGATCCAATGGCTTTGTATTGTGAAAAAGATTATTAATTGTTGTTGCAGAATTACATCCAGCATTTTGATGGAGTTGGAATCTGCGCTGTGAATTTGGAAGACGACATGCAGGAGTACATGAGGGGCCTCTTCATTGTCATGTAAGTACTAGTAGACCATTGTCCCTTACAGACTTATCATTTATCTTTCTTCCTGTTAAACTTTAAATATTGCGTTAGACTCTGAATCCGTCGTTTGTCATATCCATCGGTTACTCTTCAGAACCACTGCTTCATATCCGTCGTAGTGCCAAAGTCAAAGACTTCCTCCTCTTGAGCAACGAAAGAATCACGTTGCAAGCCTCAGTCTACAGACGGCTCTCCCGTTATTTTGATATTCATTGTTATTTATTTATTTATTTTACGATAAAATCAGTACCTACAGCAGTGGCCGCGCTGTCCCTGGGATCTCGGGTTCGAATCTAGCTCGAGGCATGAATATCTTTCCTCGTCTTTATGTTTAGAAACGAGCGGTCATTATAAATGTGGATGCTGATATTCGCTGCTGCAAAGAAATTCTTTGCCGGAATGAAGAAGATTCAGCCAATAGTAGATTCGTTTTTCATGGAGACTGTTGATGAACAGCTTTCAAGTTTATTCAATAAAATTATTCCTTTTGATAAAATAAGTATTAATATGTACTTAATTGTTGTTAAACTGGTCAAAATCGATGTGCTTATCTACATAAAGAGTAAGTTTAATTATGAATTATATAATTTCCCACTAACGAATTGTCATTTTAGCGTAAGATTCAGTATTTCCCTGTTCATCATTTCGTTTTCCGTTTCATTTTTAATGAACCAACTGACGACGGATATCAAAGGCTTAGTGCATTTTGAAGTGACCTACTTAACGCTGTGATAACACATATATGCTTAAAAATAATTATGATAAAATATTTAAGTGATATTATTCTGTGTAAATAAGTAGGATGCTACAGCACTCTGAGACAAATTGTTTAAATTCAGTATCAAATATAGTTTCTTATAGCTCTACCAGTTATTGTTCTTGGGTCGGGAAGCCTGAAGGGAAGAGACCTTTGGGGAGACCTAGACGTAGATGGGATGAGAATCTCAGGCGGGATCTATGGGAGATAGGAGTTGAAGGAGACTGGATTTTGTTGGCCCGAAACAGGAGGGCTTTGGTTAACTCGATGGTGAGCCTTCGGGCTCCGTAAGCCATTTCTACCAGTAAGATAGGCCTATACATAAAACTCAAATATCCTATAATCTCCAAAAAATTATTCCGTTATGTAGGAATCAGTATAACATTCTTCGCTGTATAACCTGGGGTACTGACAACATCGTTAAATAAAGTACGAATTATGAATCTGTCCAGTCTCATCTATCGTATTTCTATATTTTATCAATATTTCTGGGTATAATATATCAAATTTTAATGTAACAAAAAATCTGTCTTTCTATTACTTTGATAGACACAATATGCATGCATTCATTGGAGATGCAAGATATATATACATGTATTTTAACACCTATCATGTTCCTAAACATCGATTTGTCTAGTATCTATCTATTTATCTATAATCTCATACACTGACACGCTTGACTACCTACCCACCTACGCGGCTGCCTAAAATGGCCGCGCTTGCTTGTTTCCTCTAACTGCTGTCAGGGGACGCGACGGGATGTGTATCGATTGGAGTGAGTGGCCTCAGGTAGGCCCTGCTTTTGTTATCTCAGACTCAATGTTACATTACTTTTCCTTTTCGGCACTAAGACTAAACTTACGCCAATGTTAAAAATTTCTGAGGTCTGCCGCCTGAACACCGATTTGTTACACTGACCAGTCAGTACAGCGTTCTCTGCCTCCTCTGAATCACCAGCGAAATGACTTTCGTGACACAAATTCCTTTTTGAGTTTCTGATACTAAGCTGAGCAATAAATATCTGCTCTTATGTATCTAGAAGGCTTATCACCACAGCAGAAATACCATCATTATAAGCAGCTGTAATACATTTTACTTCTTCACAGACTATTTCTTTGAGGTAAGATGGGAGGAAAATGTAGTACGCATGGTAGATTGCAAGTAAAGTGAAGGGAGTACAGCTCCACTCATTTTTGACTCGGTGCTAGATGGGAGTGAGTGGTCAGCGTAACGTTCCGACCGGCTTAACCACTGGATGGGAGCTGGCCCGGACTCAGGGGCTACGATAAAGACTGCCGCTGCAGGGGATCGAACACTGGCAATCCAGACCCTAGTCAGACGAGGTTATTTATATGGGCGATATGTGAATAATACAGTGGGAAACAAGACATTTGTGCAAAATTTGACTAAAATTTCTGATGGGATTATAGTGCTAGTTTATAAAAAATGTCGGTGACTAAAGTGACAAGTTCTATAATTTGCACGAACGTGCTGTTTTGTTCTTCTTCAGTAATTACTATCTGCTGTGATGTGTGGCATACAATAGGCCTCATTAAATGACACAATAAGCCAACGAACTCTCTCTGACAGGCGATATGTATCAATCTATAATATAACAAAAAAGGCTGCTTTGACACGTATCGCCTGTCACTGAGGGATAATTTTAAAAGCGATATTGCTGTCATTTGGGTGTGAACTTTTCACACTGACATGCTTACTGTTTCTATAAGTGACACCTATCGCTTATTAACTGTGGCTTATTGCTTCGGTTTGAATCCTAACTGCAGGCAGATGAAACAGTACATGAACCCAAATCACGACTAAATATTAAAAATCCAATCCGTCAAGGAAACACATTTATCCATTACAAAGATAGATTCATTAACGCTACAAAATAGAAAAGTAAAGCTGTCCCGCTACACGCCTATGCAGACGTTTTTTTTTTGGGGGGGGGGGCAGTGGAGGTATAGCTCTTACTCATTTTTGACCTCTGCTCTAGATGGGGTGAGTGGTCAGCGTCACTTCCCGGCCGCGCTCTATCCCCTGGAAACGACCCCAGTACCCATTGCACAGGAGGTTGGGTGAGCCCCAGAGCCGATCTGGACGCAGAGGCTAGAGGAAAAATCCTCTGCCCTGTCGGAAATCAAACCCCAGTTGTCCGGCTTGGCTGTTTAAGGAAATTATATTTCTACACTGAGAATGAAAATTAACCCGTAATGCAAAATTACTGGTTTTCAAAGCCTGTGGAACATGTAGTTACCAGTGGGCTTTAAAGAGATAAGGAGTGGGTTTTGAGGAGGAGAAATTAATATTAATAGTTGAGGCCCGTTTTCAAGTTCTGAGCTTTTCGTCACAAGACGAATTGCCAACTGCGTTGAGGTTAATTAAATGCGTCTATTTGGCAGGTACGTGCTGCCCCTCACCGTCATCCTATATCTGTACGTCAGAATTTCCCGGGAGCTGAAAGTACAAGAGGGCCCCCTCGCCGTCATGATGTACGAGGCTCGAACCCGGGCTGATCGCTCACGCAACGGTTCGTCATGCCAGCAGTTCAGGTGAGCCATCTCCGACGTATTTTCAGGCTAAGCGTTCCCATTCCAGAGGGCTGCAGACCTGGAAACCACACGTCCTCTTCCCCACTACATGGGATTTTCTAAACCAGCGTCATAAACCAGCGTCATCAACCGGCGGCTCGCGGGCTACATCCGGCCTGAGATAAATTATTATTAGGCTCGTAAATATATTTGTTAGTTTGTTACTAGTTACTACACGCTCGTTTATTTTATTCCTTTTTGTTGGATTTGAAGAAGAAATCGTGTCCCTTATCTCGTCTGCTGCTTTACGTATGAACACCGAAAATGCTATTTACTTATAAACTCTACCGTAAAACGTAAGTTTTCTGCGTAAAAATTGTTTAAGATACAAATTACTGAAGCAGAAAATTTAAAATATCATGTAACTCCATAGTAATTTGTGCAGACGTCAGCAAGATTTGTATTCCAACATGTATAGCTAGTGTGTTAATTTGTCATTTCGGAAAAAAAGTATTATTAAAAATAACGAAAATTGGCTAATAGTTTTAAAAAATTATGCCAGGAGATTTTTTCGGCTCTTCGGTTCAACGGGAAAACCGTTCTTGGCCCGAGGGAAGAAGAAAGATGGACCACCGTAGTTTATATCATTAAACGTCACAAAGAAGTGAAAAAAAAAAAAAAGATTTTATTCAGTATGACCAACATCACTATCTTACTACTGTGAAAATGTAAAATGTCGTCTTATAAACCTAAGTAACACTGGTTCGTCGTATTTATCAATATACGGAACATATTTAACTTAATATACGAGGCTCGTCCACAAAGTAAGTTTCCCTGGGGCCGTTTACAGAAACAAAACACAATTTCATGGAAATATTTATTGCAACAGATACAGCAAGTGTCCAGCTATTTTTCAACATATTCGCCACCGGAATTGAGACATTTGTCATACCGTGGGACCAACTTTTGAATACCTGTGTCGTAGAAGTCTGCCGCCTGGGATTGGAACCACTGTGTGACAACCATCTCCGCCTCTCTGTCATTCTCAAAACGCTGACGCTGACGCTGACCGGACAGGAATTTCTTGAGGTGTAGGAAAAGATGGAAATCACTGGGAGCGAGGTCCGGGCTGTAGGGTGGATGATTAAACACCTCCCAGCTGAACTTCTGCAGGAGACTTGCTGTCCGTCGAGTCGTGTGCGGCCTAGCGTTATCACTGACCGCACTTCACAGTCGGCGGGGGCTGGAATAAGAACCTCCATCTTCAACAGCTGCAACGATGCTACTGTGAGAACGCGGGAAGTACCGTTAGTGCATGGGCCATGCTACGTCATTGCTCTATCACGTACGCACAGTCGCTTCGCGCAATATAAGGTTTGCTAGCTGTGGGACGAGTGGGAAACTTACTTTGTGGACGCGCCTCGTATTTAAAGTATTTGACAAACCAGTACATATAGATAATTTTCAGTATGCTGTAAAATGAAGCTCCTCATTACGTAGTTTTCTCCAGGCTCCTGTTAAATTTTCCCTTATATATCCAAATATTCTTTTCAGTGTAAACAGCCAATATGACATATCGAATATTGAGCAAAGAACCTTCAAATTCACATGCGTTGCAATAAAATATAAAGCGCTGAATTGGATATTTCTTTGTATGGGAAGGATTCAAGGAAGTGTTTCATCTAGTTAACTTCAACCAGCGAGATAATATATCTTGTAACCAAATGTTTAAAATTCCAAATATCAGATTCAAATTCTACGATAATCAAATGGAATCGATAGGCCTAAACCAAAAGATAATGTATCAACCATAATAATAACAAATATGTGTGCTGAAACATTGAGAGTTATAATTTAATAACGAAGTGCGGTTGGTTTACTCACTATATGAATATGATTCACTACGAGATTATTTGTACTCAGCCAGATAATAAATTAAAACATTTTTCAAATAAAATACACGCAACGTATTTTGTAAATGTAAAGGTTCGGTAACGTGATTATAATTTCATGAGTCAACGTAAATAATTAACTAACTGACAAATTGAAAATCTACCTCCATGGTACACGTTCGTAATCAAGCAGATGGAAATTATTTGGCTGGTAGAGAAATTCTTTAATTTTGTACCTACGATCCATCAACGTGGTCACAAAATCAAGCCATAAGACCCTATACTCGGTCTTTTTAACAAACTCCACAAGTAAAATGTATTTAAATTCATTCCATCTACGTCTAGGTCTCCCGAGTTGTACCTTTCTCTGAAATTAAAGCTTGTATAATCTGGGGTACTGGGATACTGGGAACGACCCGTTCTTCAAGTCCCTGAGCACTGCGGGTCCTAACTTTTCGTTGGCTTGATCTATAGACATTCGGTAGGACTCCTTGGACGAGGGATCGGCCCGTCGCAAGGCCTCACCTGTACACAGGACAGCACAACACAGAAAAACGGGGACAACCATCCATGGCTTGAGTGGGATTCGAACCCACGGCCCCAGCGACCAAGCGGCACAAGGCCCACGCCTTAGACCGCGCGCTTGGATAATCACGAATGCTAAAAAGCAATAACTAAATAGTAAATTTAAATCATAAAATCTAAATGCGATATACAACTTTGAAGACATGGGCGTAAATAGTAAGATAATATTATAATGTAGTGTAGGTATGGTCTGGATCGAATTGGCTCAAAGCAGAGTCCAGTGGCGTATTCATGTGAGCTCGGTTATAAAAATTTGCATTCTCTGAAAGATTAAAGGGGATTTTTTTGAACAGATGAGAAAATATCAGCGTCTGAATGAGGAGTCTGTTCCATGTAGTTTGTGTACTAGGTCGATTAATTAATAAGATTTTGATTGTAATTATCTTGTATTTCAAGGTGAGTGTGAATTTTTTTTTAATCTTTTATATTCGTCTGTTCACTTATTTTAAGCCAGATTACCCTTAAAGCTGCTACCTATTATTCCATAGTTTCTTTCATGAAGTGTCATGTCACTTAATCGTCCCCAATTATAACCAAAGGGTTTTGTCCTACGCGGCCTGTGAGAGTCGGTTGTTTCTAACGTCTTTTTATGTTTCCGTGGTAATTAAATTCCAGCACCCCACTAAATTACACGGCGTCCTGTAACAGAGTTATATTTTTCAAAGTGCTAAATCACACTGCCTTTAAATACTAGGAATTTTATAGACAACAGAGAAGAAGTGGCAACATAAAACTTAATTAAAAGTCACATATTCGAATTGGAATGATATATTGCTAAAGTATCACGCACGATACGAGAAGCTGTAATTCAAACGTCCATGGAGTGATGACACATTGTCATGGAGATACTGATATAATTAATTTTACTCCATAAAGTACAACACACACTATCCATCTTGGCTGCGCGTCAGCAACGGATCGTTTTTGGGAACTACATAATTCAAAACCTACCTGAAATCAGCAATCTTGAGTTTTATCACTGTTTCCCTCAGACCCTTTATACAAAAACCTTGATACTTCTTCAAAATAGTCTACCATCACCTTTAAAATATTACACGCTCTTCATATTCTGATTTGACAAAGCTGCACGATGTATCAGTAGTTTTAATTTGCCATAAATTTGTACAAGTAACCAATAAAATAAGAAGTGTTTTATATATAAATTCACGCCAAATTATGGTTGAAAATCCTCCTGAAGAAGTCTATTTGAAAAATCGATAAAGAGATCAAAGTATGTGAAAGGATTAATTTTATGAAGGGAGGTTCTGAGGAAGAAAAGTGTATGAACGGGCTCCAAACCGCGTCCAATGTCGAGTTAATTTGGTATTTCTGAAGAACTTGTCATTTGTCACACCCGAATACCTTAAATTTCACGCCAGAGGATCGAACACAGAGTTTAAAGCACTCTCTCTTTATGTGTATACGTATTATATAAAACGAAGATTTTTATATCTGGACTTAAAACGTGGTTTCTTTTGCACTTTATAGGTTCTATGAAACTTTCAAAACGAGAAGGTGACATTAACTTTTTGCAGTTCACAGGACTTATTGATCACCTGAACTACGAGCTCCATAGCCAGTTCCAGGATTTGGGACACTTCGAATCACAAATTCCTCTTTCCAGTAACTCTCTGAAATGTGATACATAATTTCACACAAGCCATTTTCAGCGAGATCCCTCCCTTAATACTTGGCAGTAAATTTTAAATCGACTTCTGGATATCGAGCCTAAGAATTAAGCTCTTTTCAGTAACTGAAACCTTGATATTTATTCCATAAAAATTGCTGACATTTGGGATATAGCGTATTTTTGTGCAGATTGTTTACAATGAATTTTCAAGGGCTGGATATAAAGTGATTGGAAGCTTTAGAAGCAGCATAAGGAAGGGCTATTTAATTTTTAGAATTGACATGTATTATTAGGATAATCAAATCGAGCGAAATATTGTAGGCTTGGCTTGTAGTGGACAAGGGGAAGTGAGAATTCCATTATAATTTTGGTAAGAGACCATTCGGAACATCTACGCGTAGATGGGAGGATAATATTAAAACGAATCGTAATTAAGCAGGGTTAGAGGATGTTAACTGGATTTATCAGATTCAGGACAGGGATCCGTGGCATGTTCGTGTGCCCAATGAAAGGTTAATAAATATTTTGGTTTCATATAAGGCGAAGAATTTCTTGACTAACTGAGTGACTGTTGGCTTTTCAAGAAAGAATCTGCTTCATGGAGTTTATTGAGGGTTGGATATGAAGTGTTCGTGTCATCCGAAACTAAGTATCTCATCAGTTCTAAGTGGAAATGATAAATTTATCAATGCAAGCAGAAAATCTAAAACGAATGTTCTTTTATTTCATTCTGCCGTCAAACAAATTAGACTGACAATGAACGGTAATTCTGGTTGTAAAAGCTCTTAACTTTTAATGAACTTCCACTGTAGACTAACAAATTTAATGAGCAACTTCTTACATTTAAATAACAAATCTGTCTACCGAGAGATATTAAGAAATAGAGCATTAAAATACTTTTAAACGAAATAAAATTAGTAGCGTATGAAGCAACTAAGTATAAAATCTGATAGGCGTCCAAGTAATCAAATTCTTCCTCTATTTTATTTACCCGATGTTTTATTACACCATTTACAATAACCTGCCGCTAGACCCTGTCTTGATCCAGATTAATCCATGTAGGATTTGAGGTTTACACGGCGGTGAGTGTGAGTGTGAGTGTGGGTTGTTGCACCGTGTAATCTGGTAGATGTTTACCGAGGTTTCAGAGGTCCTTGCTGCCTCCATCACCAGGGCGATGAGTTAATAACAGGCTATTCATTGTAAGTGCAAAATGTAATGATTTCTCTCTCATTTCATTAACTTACTTGATATCGGCCTAAGAAATATGGACGGGGCTACTTGCGCAAGTTGGCATAGGTCTATCACATAACAAGGAACTTTGGTGATTTATGTGGATCTCCAGCTATCGTTAGAATGGTGAACTCAACAATATAATTTTGAATGTTTCTGACAATGGTGTGACTGAATATGTTTTATTCTTCCTTAGGTCATTATCCATCGTCTGGGTCTTATTAATACCACGACGTTTCGGTAGCTTGTACTTGCGACTTCTGGAGGAAGGAAAAAGTCCTAATCTGTTGGGCCCCCTTGTCGAAATAGCCGAAATAGTCTTTTACCTGAAGTCGGAAATAAAACCAACTTCCAAAATGTTGTGTTGTTAATAACTACACTATGGATAAAGTAAAATAAAATAAAATTTAGTACAATAATACAAAGATTTGGTCATACACGGTGGATGGGGAGAGATAAGTGCGTGTAGAATTTTGTTGGGGAAACATTTTAAAATCACGTACTTGGAAGACCAAAAAGGATATGGTAGTTGAATAAAACTGACTCAATATTGAGACCAGTAATGGGTGTTGTTGTTGTAAGTGTTGTTGAATCTTTGATTTATGTTTAACAGATTTACCTGATGACAATCTTTAGTGATACCTTGAACTGTCGAATCGTGGGAGAAAGTTATTATACTTCTTTAAAGAACAAAGGAAAACATATAGACATACGAGTTTTAACGTATAAGTCAGAGAGAGGAAATGTCGAGTCCTTGAACAATGATTTTATGCATTATCTTGTAGTTATAGTTAATTTTTCAGAACACACAGATTTTATATTCTACATCAAGAATATCAAAATCGCTTTCATCTTCGATATTTTACGGCGCCCGACTCGATATGCGACCCAAAATGTCCCAGTTTAAATAAATATTAAGTTTCAAACGCACGTAAAATTCCTACTTGTATTTCGCTGTTTTACATCTCAATTAAGTAAAAGTTGAAATGTGTGTCAATTACGTTCTGGTTCGTGTGTGCTTTTGGGAAAATAGACGAACGAAAAATGTATTTAATCTTAAGCTTGGAATTATTAAAAATAATTGTTTTCATTCTCCCATCCCATGCGATGGCCCCAGAACTACAACTATTTTTTAATTGGCCCTTAGTAGACCCTGCGTTAGACATTTCTCATCTAAACATTTTGTTAAATCAGTCACCGTTCAGCTGGATCTGACCGTGATTAACACATTGGGGAGTCCCGTTCTATGTAATGGCCTGGGGTTATTCACCCATATCAAGTCTGGGATAAACGCTGTCAAATATTTGCTTCTGCTCAGCTGGAGTGGATCTGGATCAATATATTTTGCTTTGTCTTTCTCAGTCTCTCCAAGGAAACGTATTGATGCAAGCAGCGACCGAATTATTCCGAACCCATGCGCACTCATTATTCATGATATTCTCATCGACGCTGAGTTTCCAGTTGAATAAGCGCCAATACGTAAATGACCAAAAACGACCAAATAAAATTTAACGCGTTCATTAAAATTTTCGATACAGCATTAATAATCCGCCAGCACCTAGGACAACGCACAGGTTTCCGTGAGTTTCATTAGTCCTCCAGGGAAATGTTTGTAAATTACCTTAAAACATGCCACGACTCCTTCATTTCATGCCCTTTCAAATTCAACATTTGTACTAATTCACCCTGTTTTAATTCTATTTCATGTATCCTGTACATTAGTAAAGCGTCGTTAAATGAATTAAAATGTGAAAAAATAGTCCCTTATTTGTTATTCATGTAGCGACATTAGAGGGAAACGGACAGACAGACAGACGTAGACTTAAAGACCTTTCGTTGTTTAATCTTGGAAGGTAAAATGTTTATTTTATATAGCACCTTTATCGTTCAGTAACTGTGTGTATCCCATAGAATGTATTTATGCATTTCCTATGATTCTCAATGTAAACAGCGATTATTTCTCTAAACAGTATCAACAAATTGATCATTATTATGACTACGAGTTATATTTTTCGTGCTGTCTGAATTTATGAATGTTGTTTAGACAAGCTTCAGATTTAAACGGTTAACTAGTCCTACAATTCGACACATAGCCATAGCTACTGATAGCATCGTTAAATAAAACACTAATGAAATAAGTACATTAATAATGATCATTAACTATTGGTTTTCAGGGGAAGCCAGCAGGACTGTGACGACAGTCAGTTCTCCTGCCCTGCTCACGGCGACCTTTATGAAGCTGAAATGGACGTCAGCAAAGAGAAGAGAAACCAAAAGTACCTCATCTCCATGGTAACCATCTTTGCCATCTGCCTGTGCCCGCTAATGGTGTTGAGGTATGTAATAACAACGGATCAACCAACTGCGACAAAAATTTGCATATTGTAATGAGTATTTCGGCAAAGTTTCTTACTTGAAAGAAGACACTTTTAGCTAGATTGGTATAATTTGTGCGTCCATCAGCCATGATTCAATTCCATATAAATCTACAAAAGAATACACATTTCGTTACAATTTTATTTTAGAACTCAAAAACAGTAAATGCCAGGCTGGTTTCTGGGTGTTCGTGGAATAAGAATATTTTTTCTCTCTCTTTGAAGTTCAACGTTATGACACTTTCACTTAGATAAGTAATTCTTTTAAAATCAGACCGCATACAAAATACATTCTATTAAGGCGTATACTATTCTAACGGCTACAATTTATCTAATTTAAGCAATCTTACAATAAAATCTTCAAGAACAACAAGCCGCGTCAAAATTGAATCGTAGCCCAGAGTGTCAGAGAGGGTCTCTGAAACTTTGGACTACGAGAAGATTTTATTACATTTAGTCGTCGCGAAAGCCTCAAATCTTATGTAGGAAATCTTGTTAATATAACGAATCTAGGCATTTTAGAATGGTCTAAAATCCTATAATCAAGGATTCAGAATTCCTGTTTTAAACATTTTACGTAATTTAACGAGTAAAATGAAATTTCCGAGTATTTAATTTACAATATTACGAAATTATCTACCGTATACGTAGTTTGCATGAAATGTCCAATATCTCATTTTGAATGAAGAATTTATAACGCATTTAATAATACAAAATTTGTTAACATAACTGTACTTAGTCCTACCCCCCTCCTCAACCTGTAATAAAGTGGTTTTGCCGCTAGTGTTTACGAGACTAAAGAAACATCGCATTTCAAAGCTTAAAAGCGAAATTCTGTATGGCCGTTTAAACGTGTTCTCGTCTCCGTTTGTTTAGTGACTGAAGTTAATAGGCTTAATTAAAACAAAGTACGTATCCGCTTCCAGAACTCTAACAGCAGAAATGTATAACTCCTCTTTCAATTCAAAAAACGAGAAACGGAAACATTCTCACAAAGCTTAAAGACATCGGCAAACAACCTGGCGTATGGGTGATATAGAAATTCTACGAAATTTATACCGATTCTGCTAGTCATTAAAAACTTATTTTGTCTCAATAACTGAATCAATTGAATACAAATATGTAATACTCTTTGCCAATGAAACAAATTCTTAAAACAAACAGAGCGTTCACGTAAAAGTCACACTAACGATTCGACTGAACGACTTCAACATCTCGGAACTGAAACCTGAGGTAAATGTTTTCAGCATGGCGTAGCCAATTACGAGCCGCTCGTAACGGTCGCTTACAAACCAAGAAGTTTGCCCATATTTATACTTATCTTTTACATTTCCATTTCTATGTGATTTCGGTTTTTACATGTTACTAACACACTTTAATTTATTTTGCTTTATTTACCTTGTGCTGAGCTCATATGCTGATCTATGAACCTGTTGTCAATGAAGCTAATTCATTATATACGGATGCTAACATTTCTTTTCGTGAATTTAATTAAACATTCTAAAATGAAGGCGTCAGGAACAGGAAAACTATAGACCATGGCGGGGACAAGTTTCTTCGTGAACAACGCGACGCGACAAACTTAATGCCATATGGATTAAATAGGGATTTTTGAATACGAGGCATAAAATTTCTTTTAATATTTAAATACACAGATTTTCAAACCTCCGTATGTTCAAATTTGCAGCTTTCGGCGAATAATTACTGTTTGCACTGGTAAAATTTCTGTTTTCTGTCGTATTTCGGTATTTGGAAGCATTTCAAATGAAACGTGTTGAGCGTAATGAATTTTATGTCCAGCGTAAATCTTTCCATTCGATATTTTGGGAGATGAAACTGACGAAGGAAACATACGTGTTCAGTATGAGTTTGTTTAATGCACTTTTCGCTCAGAAATACCTATAAATATTTTCCTCCGTCGTTTTATATCTCCACTCATGTCACGAACTTTTTACGTTGTTGGTTGAATGAGGCTAGTACTCTGCAAGGCTTAAAAATTGAGTTTGTGGTGGATGTTGACGTGTTAAGGTTTTCAATAGGCTCACTTCACGTTACATGACGGGAAAGTTGAGCTCTCTGGATATTAGAGTGTGAATCTTTAATACACAAAAAATGGGTGTTTCAGAACCTCCACACAATGTTTCATTAATCTTTATGAATCGTAAAGATATACTTGGTATGACGAGAGAATGTAAGTATTTTTGCACTTTACCTTGAACACAGCTGTACATGTAAACCTGCTTACCGGATTACGCACGGTCCTATGGTGGGCTTTTCTGTTATTACTTAGCAGAGAACTTACATGTTTCTTAAAAGGTGAGTGATTTATTCTATTCTGAATGTCTCTGACGACTTTATATATGTTAATTTTAAAAACCTGTAGAAAGATTAGGAATAACTCGGTGTTCCGTGCCCAACAGAATAACATATCCTTAGATTTTTTAGCCAAAGACAAAGGAAGGTCCTTCATTCGAAACGTAGTGATTTTTTTTAATGTTTTCAGATTTGTTATGAATTTAAAAAAAACAGACGACGGATAAAGTCCAAATCAGATAAAACGGAGATTTTCTTGACTGCTAGCTTTCCAAGGACTCGAAGTTTAATGAATTTATTTGGATTGTATGTCTGTAACTGTATGGATGTGAAGCAAGGACATCAAAACTGACTTCAGTCTCAGATAGTGACAGCGTCGTTAAATACATCATAAATATATTTAGTAGCAACATGAAAACTCTGTTTTGGTGGTTCATTTTTGTAGATATTTCAATTTCTCAGACTACATGTTAACTTATAACATAATAATGCCGTGACTGTCTGACGATCCCGATTCTGAAAACCTAAGTTCACTTTGATAAAGTATTTATAGTTTTAGTTCTGAGTCAGATTTTTGCCGTCCTCAGTTGACACAGTTTTGAAATGACACGAATACTTCAGCTACCTGCACTTGCCCACGCAATGAACAACAGCACTACCCATACTACAACCATTGAGTGCTTTGTACTACTGACATTCGTCAATGTGAAGTGTTTTGTTTCGTTCGGAATCGATTCCTACACACGATAAATTATGAAAAGATCATCTCTTCAATTTCGGTAAATATGCAAATTAAAGATTGGACACGCAATCAAAATGTCACCTCTTCTACTTGCCCACGCCAAGCTCATGTTTTTAATCTGAAGACAAACGAGACCTTGCTTGCCAAAGGAAAGGCAGTGGGGCGGAAGAACCACGGAACGGGTTCTTGGCCCTGATAAAAAAAATACGGATATTTTGTGTACATATAACTTATACCTATATAAACGAGGCAATGAAATAATTATATTATTTATTCTTAAAATTTTGCATACCGTGTAGTGTATTAGAATATAGAGTAAACAAATCAACAACTATTAAAACCATGATGCCACTGATGATGACCTCTTGAGGTCGAAACACGTATGGCAATAGTGTCTATTATAGTGTTAATAGTTGTTGGTTTGTTTACTCTATGTATTATTTATTATTTATAAAATATTTCACTTCCCGTTTGTTATAGAAAATGTAAATATTAACATATACAAAGCTATAATTTTACACGTTGAATTGTATGGGTGTGAAACTCGGTCTCTAATTTTCAGGAAAGAACACAAAACTGAAAGTGCTTAATAATAGGTTCTTAGCTGAATAGTTGGATATAAAAGGTATGAATTGATGGAAGACTGTAGAAAAATTAATATTGAGGTCAGTAAGAAGATGGCTGTCTTCTGGGTTGCAGCGCCGTGAGATCTGGTAGATCTCATGATGGCACCAGAAATTGTTGAGATAATCAAATCAAGGAAGGAGAGATGGACGAGGTACGTATCTCGCAAGGGGTAGTTGAGAAATGTATACGAATTTTTGGTTGGAATGCTTAAACGAAAGAGACAACTCGGAAGATTTAGGGCGTAGACGGAAGGGATAATTTTAAAACGGATTTTAGGAAAATTGGGTTTTTGGGTGTGGATTGAATTCATTTGGCTCAGGATAGAGACCGATTTCTGGCTCTTGTGAGGACAGTAATAAACCTTCTAGTTTCACAAGGGGAGGGGGAAGGATGTCTTGACTAGGTAAGCGTACTATCTCAAGAATGACTACTCCATTTGGTTAGATGCTTAAGGATGCTGTCAGTATTTCAGACTGTTTTTCGTCGAATGATAGGAAGATTCATCAACAATAAATTTGAAAGGATAAGGAAGGAAACTGAATTGGCTTAATTTAAGATACTGTCCCGGAATTTTTCTATAAGGTCTGAGGAAATCCAAGGGCTTACTCAGGATGGACCATCTTCTCCGGACTGAGGTGTAATCGGGTCATCCCAGGCATGAAACGGGGGTGGTAACATTCCGGCAATGATTTAAATTAAATACCTGTTATGCAATTAAAGTGAGCGTAGGAAGTAAGAAATACCCCATCATTGTCCAATAGGAATTTATAAAATTACGAAGTTCCATTCAGTTTACAAATATTTTCAAAGACATAGAGATTTTAATAGGACAACAATTAGCGCGTTATTATTAAAGAAACCCACGGCTCAGTGTATACAAAACTTCCTCTTAATAAGTTTGTTAAAATGCAAGATCAAGTGTATAAAAGCATTTCGACGTAGAAACCAATTTACGTGTCGCTTGCGATACCAACAAATATCACGATTAAACAGCCATAGAGCATTCATTTATATGGCACGTGCTCGAAGTAAATTGAATGTATTCACACTGTAACAAGTTGGTGCATTTGTCTCTATGGAAACGGATAACTAATAGCATAAATATATCGCAAGTTTTATGTTCTTTGTAGTCACAGAATCAGTTTAGTTATGGTGGGACTGGGGGGAATCACAAAGGACTGTAAAGTTTTATGTGAGACAAATGGAATCAAACACTGGACACAAAAAAGTGAAGAGGAAAGAATATATAGCCTAGGGAGCAATAAAATACAGACGCTGT